GGGCGCCCCTCTCCGCCGTCCCCCGCCGGCGGGAGCGGGGAAGGCACCCTCCTCCTCTTAGCCCGCCGCCCCCGGGAGGAAGGGGCCGTTTGCAGACGCGTGCCCGATGTCGGAGGGGCTCCCGGGGCTTTGTGTAGGGAGGCAGCCTCGCCCTCTGGGGCTGGGGGAAGGGATTAGCTCTCCGAGGTGTACCGAAGCCTGCCGGGGAAGGGTGTTTTGGTTTCTGCACATGACATCGCACCTCCCCGGAGGCCTACAGCTCTTGCTTTTGTTCGGCTGCCGTAGAGTAGCGCATCGGGTCCCTTGGAGACGAGAGCAGGCTTCAGTTCCGCTGCGAAATCAATCGCCGGTGTTTACACAAGTTCAGAAGGTGTGGAGAAACTTGTGGAAAATTTCTGGGGTGGTGCGGAATTAGCCCCCGGGTACTGTTATACTTCTTCAGATGTTCAGCAAGAGTGTTTTAAGCCTTGATTTCTTTCAGCTGTGAAGGCAGCAAATGTAACATCCTCCTTCATCTCATAGATGTGTTGTCCTTAGGTGTTTCCATTTATTGCTAACGATGTAGGACCACAGTTTACCTTAGGCGGTTCCTCCTTTTAAATAAATGGACTGCTTACCCTGCTGCTCCAGCAGAAACACCTGCAGGTGGCTGTTCACCTTGTCTTTATTACACTTGGATGAGCTTCTACTGAGAATCAAGGAGGCTTGCTCTCTTTTAACATCATGCTGTTCTCCAGCTGTCTTTTTGAAGTTTCCTATGACACTAGGTGAGCAGCATTAGACCTGCGGGAGAAGTAGTGGGAAGGAGCACAGTGTCAACAGAGACACACAAGGGAAGTGTGTACGGAGTGGAAAAGTGTAACAAAAGCAGTCTGACTTGGGGCAGAACAGGTTGTAGGTTCATCTACAAAGGTCTCTGGAATGAACACGCAGACAAATTAAAAAAAAAAAAAACAAAACCAAACAAAAATGCCTTTCAGAGTTAAACGCCTTTAAAAATGCTGGAATGATTCCATGCATGAGCAATGTTTTAGTTGCTCAGGGAGGAGACAATGTGTGTGCTTCCTCGGAGAAGTCATTTGTCCGACATCTAGCCTGATCCATTGGAGGAGTATGAGAGCATAAGTTTATTCTCATCCAACATGAGCTTACTAAATTAACACAAGGCATCATCTTCCAGATGATGAGTCTGTGCAAAGCAGTTACTCTTACTTCTTAGCTTATGAGGGAGCACATGAGGGAAATAGAATATGCTAAATTTGCACAGTAAGTTTGGAGTGGGATGACCAAATTTGCGGCTGTCATGAATTCTAGTGACAGTAGATATTACCATTTTATATATTAATCCTAAGTCATGGTCAAAGTGATGCGTATCTTCAGTGAAAGTTAATGTCACAGCAGAGCATATGGTGACAGTGATGGCATGCATGCTGTGTGTTTTTGTTTATGCAGTTCTGGACACTCATGAGCACCCATCTTGCTGGTGTCAGGTGTCCTCAAAAGACAACAGAACTTAAGTGGTCTGTTACCTGTCTTCGTTCCTTTCCTGGTATTTTAGCAACTATAATGCGAATTTTCAATCTCAGACGTGGGACAGTGACTGAGACACAAAAGCATACACTTGGAAAAGGGCAGTTGTTAAACTTATTGCTGTACATATCAAGAAACATGGCTATGTAATTAAAAAACTTTTGTCTTTTCATGCTATAGTTTAATATGCATTTAATGATAAATGTGGTTTGGCTAGATTGATTCCCCCCCCTCAAATTGCTCTATAAAAATGGAGATCAAACTGCTAGAATTTCTGAACACCATTTCATTCAACTGTTGAGGCACTTAATACTCTAAACCCATTTTTTTTTTCCTTATGAAGGTAGAATGACTTTATATTTGTGCATTTGATGAATGGAGGTTATTGCTCTAAGTAAAGTGGAAATTTTTGGAGGGCTAGTGGAACAATCAAAAAGAAACAAGCCTGTGAAAATAGGAGGGATGATGCGAGTAAGTGGATTTCTCTTAAACTGTTAAATAAAGATCCCATTCTTAAGGCCTTGGTTATGCAAGGTCACTCAAAAAGTAATTGAATCAACTGTGAAAGGATGGATGTGCTTGATGAAATTTAAACCTCATGTGAACTCTTTCAGGTTCAGATGGATTTAGATCACTACTGCTTAACCCAAAATCCTGTTTAAAATGTGGGATAATGCCACTGTAGAAATCAAAGACCACTTACCAGCTGAGGAAACCTCACATGGAAACAAACTAAATTTAAGTCACAGTTTGTGCATAAAAAATTGATTCATCTTGCCTGTTTTGATTGGCTACAGAGGGAAGCTTAGATTTGTCTCTACTTTTGATTTCAGGAGGACCTTGCTGTGGGAGATAATAGATGACGAAGGGTGCTGGTTACCTCTATTCTTCTCTCTGCTTTGTGTAATACAGGCATTTTTTCAGTCCGTTAATTCATATACCCCATTATGAAATTGTCTGAGCCTTGTAATGGCAAAAGAAATCGTTTTCTTCACTGCTAAAATTACATTGGCTTACATTTAATGCTCACATGAGGTTAGTGCCTCTGAAGTTTGGCTATGAATTTAAGATGGAGCAGTTGATACTATAACTGAAATTGATACTGGAGTGCGACGTGCTGTTTTTTAAATCTACGTTTGGACTTGATCAGCTCTTTTCTAGGTTTTAATTCTTTAAATGCTTTTAGATAAGTCTACACAGGACAGAAGTGTAAAGTGAAAAATGAGAGGATAGAACTAGCCTAAATTGCTGACAAGTGAAAATAACTTGGATACTGCTGCTTTAGTAGCAGCATTAGCTATTAAAACTGCATTACAGTATTAGTGAGCTTTGGGACTGTTTTAGTTTTGCTTGTTTGTTTTTCTTCGCTGTGGTTAGTTAAATCCAGATATATTTTAAGTTTTAAACAGTTTAGCACATGAGACAATCTTCAGATCCTGTGGTAAATTACTAAAAATATTTCAGCGAATTTAGATTTAGTTTCTTGGCCCATATGCTTCTGAATCCTGTTTAATATGCTGGAACTTTCCTCGTAATAGGGTACTGAAGGTTGCCAGTAGGCACATATGCACATAGAGTACTGAGCTGTATCTAGTCCCATGGAGACTTTGCTTTAGGCCTGCTAATTACTTCCTCAACTTTGGTGATCTGTTCTACGGCTGTTCCTATTTAGTTTTTCTTGAACCAGACTGGATCAAATTTATTTTTTTTTCCATTTTCAGTCTGAGCAGGTCTTTTTTTATTAATTAATTAATAAGACAAAAGGGCAGGAAAGGGGACCAGAGCGGAGAAATCCTTGGGGAGGCAGGATGAGGTATACGGCTCCTTGCCTGACTTGCTGGGTAAGGTTGGGTGTGGATGTGTAGCATGTTTGAGACAACTCGGTAACAGTACGCAAGCTGGCTTGCTATGCTTCTTTTTTAAAAGTGACCTGTCCCAAGTTTATTGCACGATAAGTGCACACGTGGGCAATTACTGTAGATTAGTTAATGTGCTGTGAATTCACTGTACCTTGCTTTGCAGTAACTTGTTACGCAGTCACTAAGCTAAACTTTCTGAGGAGCTTTCTTTTAAATGTGAGGAAAAAATACATATTTTGAAGAAAAAGCACTGTATGCGGTATGTGCATAAAAAAGTATAGAGCTTGCTATGTATTGCTTCTGTACTTACAGTTGCTCAGGAAACTTCAGAACAGTTGCATCCCCTTTAAATGATAGTACTATAAAAGCTAGCCTAGCACTTATCAATGTTTTCATGTCACTGCAATCTAAAGGCTGAAATAGCTAGCAGCTGACTGACTGAATTTACAAACAAAAGGCAATTACGGTGTATTTAAAGTGAAATTACTGCTGGGTTGTTAGTATTAATAGTTCAAAGTAATATTTTTCAGTGTTTTTTAAGATGTTGTATAGGTTTGGTATCCTGTTTAGTTAAAAAGGCAGGCAAATACTTTTACTATTATACACATTCTCATTCAGCAGCTATTTCTATTAAATTAGTGCCTATTTTAAATAGTCTGTTTCCATTCTAGTCATCCATTCCAGTTAGTTGGCTAAGTGGCTGTTTTGAGATACAGAGGGTAGAAACATGGTTGTCCCCTGTAATGATTGTCTTTCAGCTCATACTGCTTAATGTCCTTTGAGCACTAACTTTATGTTTTGGAACCCTAACGTTTGCCGTAGTGAGCTAGTAAAGTGTAGGGTGAGTGTTTCAGGATAGACCTGCACCTGAATGAACTCCCATTGCTGAAATTACACTGCAATATTTCCTTTTCAGCTGCTAAAATGGCATTGTATTAATGTGGTTTGGGCCTTTTGGAAACTGGACAGGTTCTGATCAATTCTTGCCTTGTGATGTAAGTAAAAGAGAAATCAAGGCTTTTCATTTTGTGGCAGATAAATTGCAATCTGATTTAAAGTTGGGGGTTTTTTAACCAAATTCAGATAATGGCTCCTCAGACTAGGAAGATAATTTGAAAAGAAGCATGTGAGAGAACTAAGGATTAGAGAAGTTACCGGTTTGTCAAATGAAACAACTGGTGTAACATCAAGTAACATTCCATTTGACTAATGTCTTTGACATGTCTATATTTGTTGTGAAATGGATGTTTGAGGACTGTAGGAAGAACTTTTTTACATTTCTAACTTCTTGTGTGGTATTTATGGCTTTTCAACTTGTTTGATATTTTGCTATTATGGACGCTCTGATACAAATTTCCTTTATTGTCTTAATGGTATTCCTGAAATTTACCTCATAATCGTGTCTTGTGTAGGCATGATTCACATTTCTACTTTTTGGAGGTGTTGGTAGAGCTCTCAAATCTAGTAATTAAGCAGACTTATATTTTGGAACACATTTAATAGGCCACAGAACTTCTCAGCTTTTCTCTATTCCATGTAAGTGAGCATCAACAATACCACGTTAGAGCGTGTGTGCTCTAACAAATTCTTCCTGAAAAGCTTCTCAAACAGTGGCCAGTTGTACAGAGTTTGTGTGACAGTTCTGGGGAAGCTACATGATGGTGTGACAGGAGTCTTCCAAGCTTTTGAAGGCCCCTTCTTCTGTTCTACAACATCCCTTTCAACAGCAATCTGTTCTTTTGAGGTAAGGAAATGAATAATGGCTATAATTGCCAGCAACTAGACAGCACAGCTAACTATCTTTAATTATTGGTGACGGGAAGATAGTTGTGTTCCCAGTTGCATTTTGCAACCTCTCTGAATTCTCCCAATTCTACTTGAAAATCTCATCATGTAATTGAGATGTGCAGCTTTGATTTGAAGATTTAATGAGATTGTCAGAGCATTTTTGTAGTATTCATCTCCATATTTTGAGAGACCTGGAGTTTTGCTATAACTCATGCATCTCAGAGCTAGGAGCATTCAGTTAAGTACACCAGCAAATTAGTGATTACAGGCTGAGCAATGTGTCTCCGTCAGTTACAACTGCAGGTTAGGAACTTTGCAGGGATGGGGGAGAAGGGAAGAGGAAATCGTGTGGGCCAGATATGTGCTGAGATGTCACTTAGATTTTGCGTATTTTTTTTTTCTTTACAACCCAATATTCTTTTCAGATATTTACCTGTAGCTGTTTATTCAAAATCCATCTTAAAATTTTACTTATTTAAATTGCTCCAAATAGGATCCCCTGAAAGTTTTAGATTGATCTAAAAGAGTTTAGATTGACACTTTTGTGTTCTAAATTGTCTGTTTCCAAGACTGACCAGTCTCCCAACTTACTTATTTTTAGTAGCTTTTAGTTGTGGAATTTCCCTCCTGCTGTTTTTAGGGGAATTTCATACCCATCTGTCCTTTTTTTTTTTTTTTTTCTTTGCATCTTCTCTTCAGGTTGCTTTCTCAATCCTGCTTTTGCCTGCAACGTGTTTTGTCTGCTCTCCGCTCTCTTGTTTTATTGCCTCTATTGTACCTGCCAGTTTTTGCTTAAATTTAACGTAGCTAAAATAAACGAGCTGTAGCTCAAGTTCCTTCCACTTGCCATCTTCTTTCTAATTCAGATCTATGACTTCATGTTCATCTGTATGTTTTTCCCTCACTCTAGTACCGAGCAGTAGAAAGATTTTGATAAAAAAAGACACTTCCTTTCTACCTGATCAGAATCTTGGCTTCTGGTTTCATGCCTGTTGGCGACTAGCCTCTTGTCTTTTAATGCACGGTGAGGTGTTCCTCAGGTGAGGTAATCCCTATGCAGATACTCCATTCCACTCTGTGTCCTGTCCTCTTTCTTCAAAGCCTTTTCTGACTCAGCTGTGTCCCAGTGCAATGTGCTAGAGCTTGCCCCATTTGGCTGACATTATCATATGGGCTTGTAGTGACAGTAGTCTTACTGCAAAAGCTCTGCCCCTTTTGTGCTGCGTCTCCCTGGAACTGATCAGTAGAGCCCTTGGCCGCTTTAAACTTCAGACTGGCGCTGCTGTGGCATAGTTGACTAGTGACAGCTGAAGGGAGGGAGTATTACTGGGTGCAGCAGAATCATACTGTCTGGGCTTCTTAATGCTGTTTCAAAATAGATTGAAGCTCCTAGGCTTTTTATATACTGTTTCCTTTTACTTGACCTTATGTCACTGAATTGTAGAGTCTTTACTCTCTTGTGGAGAAATTGGAGTGTCGGTTTCTGGTGTGTTGACATTTGTAGTAGGGGTGGTAACTGTAAGCTGTCGCTTCCTCAATTGTTTTCAACTTCCTGTTTTGAGAAAGTGATTTAGTAGTGTTTAAAGATGTATGAAGCCGTATTGGTAATCTTCAATCTTGAAGTTGCTGTGGTGCCAATCAGTGCTGTTCCATGCTGTAGAATGTTCAAGTGGGAATGGATCTCTTCTGGTAAACTCTTCAGCTGAAGAGGACCTATATCTTTTGGATCAAACAGTAGTTTGACAAAGATCACTTAGCTGTATGAAGTTATTTGTACATGCTTTGTAGCCTCCTTTCTGTTCTTTTTCCCTTCCTGCTGTTGGGAAGAGAGGAAGAAGTAGTAAAAGCATCACTGATTCTTAGCCTTGCCCTTGGCCTTACTTTTTTTTAATCTGAACTAGGCAAAGCAAGTAGAATTAAATAGGTTTCAAAATTTGAGATTGGCTGTTCTTTCTCAGATGGGAAATTAAGATCACTGCTTTGTAATAATGACACTTCATAATTGCATGATGTGCAAGAAACTGTCCTGAAAGAGCCATTGTGTTACTGCATCAATGTGTACGTGTTTGCCATGAGGCGGTGGAGTTGCATGCAGCATGTATATTCTAAAGTTCTGTCTTTTCTTGAAATGTAAGATGTGAAATAGGGGCTGTTAAAAACAGTTGACTGGAAAGAGGTGGGAGAATCTGCAATATATGTTTGGTTATAAAGGGAGGTGGAAAAGTGGGAGCTGCGTGAGACTGGACTGCTTCCGTAAATAAACTACTTGTGAAACAAATGCAGCGATTGGAAATTGCAGAGATGAATGTGTTGGAGTTTAAATACCAGGTGCCTTTTTGATTAGTCTTGTAGGTTTGTTGAAGAAATCCGGTTTGTGTGTCTTTCAAAGAGGACAAGCACTTGAATTTCTTGCCTGTTATACAGGGCATTACTGTAAACACTTCAAATGTGCATGGAACTTCTCAAACACAGCAAGGCATGTCAGCTATCCAGAGAGCTAGGAGGCAGTCTAGCCTGTACAGCATAAAAGTTGGCTTCGCCTTTGACGCTTCTTTGTATTGTGTAAACATACCTTAGGACAGAAAAGAGTACAGGCAAATAAATGCTAAAAAGACAGTAAATTTGAAGTGTTAGAGAGCTAGTAAATGTTAAACATTAATTTTAACTATATGCAGATAATTGCAGAAAGCACAACAATTTGTGTAATTGTTTAAATAGACTGTAAAAGCTGAGTGATTCTTGTGCTTTCCAGGGATCTTCAGGTCTATAAATATGTGATGGGCTCTTAGCGTTTCTTGTGGGCAGAATGCCTGTGAAGATTGTAAGGATTTCTACAAAATCAGTTTTAATGACCAGCTTGATACTGGCCAGAGCATAAGCCACATGGACTAAAGTATGTGGCAGTGGCTATTTGCATTGTTACAAATGGCTTCATTTTTGTTTGAAAACCTGGCAGCTAATAAAAATCCTCTTTCCTGCACTTGCAAACATAGTTTTCTAATTTCAGTGTTTGAGGGAAGAGTGTTTCAGAGCATGCTCTCAACAAAGCGATCGGTGTTTTAGGGTGAGAGATTAGTGGTGGTTTTATAAGCATGCTTCTTGGGAAGCTTTTGTAAGAAGTGACCTTAAGGGTAGTAATTTAAAAAAAAAAAAATCTTTTAAAGCTGTTTATAAAACAGAGTTCTAGTATTACAGAGGAAGGATCAGCTAATAATCTTGTAACAGAGCTGTGGGCAATAACTTCTGTGTTGCTGATGTCATTGGCATAAAGGAAGCAAGAACTTTTGCTGTCTGTTTTCTATGGAAGCATGGCTGATCAGGCTGTCAAATGTTCCGAAGTTAGTGCATGGCGTGCAACCATGTTCACTTGGAGTATGAAGCCTGTCGTTATTCCTAGAAGAAACACTCATTTAACCATTTCTGCATATGTGTAAGCTCTAGTTAGAGCTGTAGATCTTGCAGTTCGCTGTTGTCTTTTGCTGAAGCGTATTTCCAAGTTTGGTTCTAGTCTAAAGATAAGGCTTAAATATCCCAACTTTGTGCACAATTGGTTATGACTTTTCCTTTAATCTGTTTCTTGAGGGAGGAGAAATTTTCAGCTAAATTTCTAGAGTCTTTAAACTGGAATACTTCTTTTTTCAGACATGGAATGCTGACATTAAAATAAATAAATGGAGATGCTGATGGGTAAAGGCCTCAGCATGTCCTGCAGAACAATATGATCTCATTGTTTCTCTCTACTCTCCTATGTGCATTGCCTCTTGTTCCTTGTTTTTAATGCTTGACCGTATACCCTTTAGGACAGAGATAGCCCCTTCGTTCTGTGTTCAAAGGAAAACTAAGAGGTCAGGTGCTAGGATACAAATGATAAGTAAAACCAAAATGTTTATTGTACAAGGCTACTGAAATAATAGATGTGTTCTGTGCATTTTAGCACTATTCCTTGGCTGTTAAGATGCTTATAGCTTGCTATGTCTTTGTTTTCAGGAAAACAACAGTTGAATATTGGATAGTGCTTTATTTCCGTCTTTCAGGTGAACGTTGCTTAAATCTGAAAAGATTAATCCTGATTTGTACTTTTATGTGACATAGTGAAGTTGTCCATATACCTGATGTGTCTGAAAATTGAAGACCTTTTTGTTTGTTTTGTTTTTTCCTGGCATATCAGTCAGTATATCCCAGCATAGCAGTACAGCCATCAATTCTTGTCAGAAGTCCTTGGGTAGCCATGTGTTATCAGTATTATACTATATCCAAAATAGTTAATTTAAAGGTAAAACTTATGCTTTTTTTATATTTGGGGATCATACTGTAGATACAGTATAAAATAGAACTAGCATAGTATGTGGTATTTTGTTGCATGCCTGATCTTATACTCATTTTGTCTGGCTTCAAAGGTTTTTTTCCTCTCTTTTTCAGGTTATATATGTCCCCAAAGAAGAAGCTGACTCCAGTGCAAAAATGTGTTAGTCCATTAGTTTGGTGCAGGCAGGTATTGGATTACCCAAGTCCTGATGTTGAATGTGCTAAAAAGTCGCTGATCCACAGGCTGGAACAGACAATGTCGGGTGAGTTCCCGCATACTAACACCACCGGGTTATACATATTTATCCTGAAATGGAGTCAGAATTAGACGATAGACAGTTGTGAGAGAGGAGGGTTAGATCCAGCAGTTACTTCTGTCTGAAGTTTTCATTACAACTTGCAAACAGTAATTCATTCTGCTCATTGTCTGGACTGTATGAATAAAATGAAAGGAAGCATTAGACCATGAGTCATGATTTCAGAGTTTTATACTACCTGCATAGTTATAATTTGGTCAGAAGTTTTCAAGGAAAAAGCGTCCTTAGCTTGGAGATTTTCTTGCCTTATTTTAAACTAGAAATCTGTATTAAACTATCATATATGTTAGGTGCTTGTCAGTATGTTAACACAAACTTAGTTTTCTGAGAGATGAGCTATTTTATGTCATCTAAGGAAATGGAGGCCGAAGTTCTTGAATACTTTGGGGAGATAATACTGATTTCTCTTCCTCCCACCCCCAGTAACTTAAGATCTTGTCACTTGTCACAGTCAGATTAAAAAAGAAAAAAAATCTAGAGTTCATGATTATTCCTTGATACAAATTAGTTGGTTATATTCAAAATTGGAGAAAGAGTGAGCGTTTGGCCCTGTGAGGATGAAAGCCTACATTCTCCACCCTTTTATTCCCAGCCTTTTTGATGTCAAACCAGCAGCAAAATGCTGAAGGTCTGATTAGAATTATCTGTCCATCTGGTTTCTTGCTTTATTTTAATTTCTTTGTTAGAGCCTATTTTTATGTAAAAAAAAAAAAGTTATGTTGAGACGTAACTTACTTGCTACTAATATCTAGTCTTTCCCTGTGTTTCCATTTTTTTGCGGTCTTGCGCTACGTGTGATCTATCTTCTTTTCTGTTATCCTCCACAATTAGCAGAATGGCTGGACTTGAGCTAAGAATATGTGAACACAGTTCCTGGAGTGTTCCCAACTGCCAGCTCCTTTACATGTTTATACATAAACTTTGTGCTGAGTTTATCTGACTGTAACTTTCCCCTCCTTGAATGCTTTTCTGGAGCAATTCAGTCTTTATTCTGGTTTGTACTAAAATAATTTTTAATAAAATGTGAAAGCATTGCTGGTAGATCACATGAAAAGTCCCATTTCTTACTCTTGTAAAAACTGTGGGCATAATGGTGGAAGTGTGAGTCACCTTTGATCTTGGCCTATTTCTTGTGCTTTGTGTATGCTGCCTTGACAAATGTCTGTCTGTTAACAATCTTCCTGAACAGTTAACATGGTATATAGCTTGCTACACACAAAGACTGAAATTCTAACAATGAAAAGTACCCAGATCACAGGGATTTACAAATGATGATAGAAGTTTGGGAGTTTGAATACTGCTGAGTATTCAGGACTGGATAGCAGTTAGGTTAAGCATAAACAATTCTGTTCATGGTTTAACTTCTTTTTGGAACTGAGTAGAAATCTTCCAGAAGTGCCACAAATTCTGTTACCCTTAGGGTATCTTTAAAAATTCAGTCATAGTTGAAGAAGAGCGGCAGGAAGCTTCCCTATGAAATGGACGAACTTGAAAGTTTGATCATTCAAGTGATGTGCTTAGGCGACTTTACCTCTTTTTTTCCATAGACCTATGAATCTGCCTCTGGCAGTGATACTTGCAAGAATACCACAATTCATCTACAGTACTAATAGGGAAAATATTAGCGGTAGAAGAGATGGGCACTAATAGTGCTGTTTGGAGCAGGTTGCATGGGAAAATGAATTTGTAACAAAAAAGAAAATTGTCCTTGAGAACAGCCAGCCTACAGAGATACAGGGTAGCTCCAGTGGAGAGGGCAGGTAGTGCTGATTGTTACCTTGTGTGTTCCCTACCCCACAACTTCTGGAGTATCTTGTGACTTGTATTTTACGTAGTACTTGTACCTCATGGATGCATCACTTAGCCTATTACTACTTACTGATTCAGTTTATCAATTTCAGTTCCAGTCTGTGGATAGGTTTTTCATACTACTGTTACTTTCTCTCTTGAATTCTTGCTGATGTTTCTTTTGCCTTGATCATTTTTCCTTTCCCAGTTCCTGTTGTTACATCTTTCTAATCTAATATCTTTTTGCTGTTTCTCAGTCTCAAATGCACTCCTGTATTCCACATTTTTTTTCTTCCTTCTTATAAAGTGATCTTTTCCATTGTGTGGTAATAAAAGAGGGAAGAGCAGCTTTCAGCTTCGTGCTACTGTGGGCAGTTACTGAGAACACAGGATGCGCAGTGCCTTGTCGCTTGCTAGTTCTGGTTTAGACTTGCAGAGCAAGTCCTGCTCAGTGTTGGAAGCGTGTTCGGACTGGAGGGAACCTTAGGCATATTCTGGTATGAAGATCTCTCTTAGCCACACCTTGAGTCCCTGGAGAAAAGTGCAAGAGTGCATTTCACATTGGCTGGAAACCATGTCTTCTACCATATAGTGGCCTAAAATTGTCTAAGGATAGAGCACATCAAGAAAGTGACTGCAGGAACAGAGAAATACTAGGCAGAAGAATTTCTGGAAGAGGTGCTTTCTTAAGACAAAGTTGCACAGAATTAGAAGAGAGTAACTGGTCACATTGCATTTTTTTACCGAGGCAGTGTTTTTATTTAAATATTTGAAATCAAACCCATGATCAGTATAGCTGGTAGGAGAACTGTGTGGCTGTATGTGTAAAAACTTGTATTTTCCTTGCTGAATGAGTTTGACATTTCAGTTAAGCACAGAGTTTTTCGAAACCAACTTTTATTTAGCTCATGTTGGTCTTGGTGATAGACTTCACTAATGATTTTCTTGAATTACTACAGGAACTGCTAGAATAGATTTGTCACTTAATCATAACAAATAGTATCAGGTCTCTAGCATTTGGGAAAATTGCACCTGATTCATGCAGTAGATATTCTGAACCACCTAAGCATTAGTCTTCTGCACTCAAATTTTTGTTTTCCTATTTTCTAGAGCAAAAGAGAGATTCAAGATCAATTTAACCAAATGTTGACTAAAATAAATTAGAAGCTGCATACTTTTTCTGAATGTTATCAAATAAAAAAAAATTTACATTAAATTAAAATGCTGGTCATTAATGCTTCCCTCTGGGCTTTTGAAAGCTAATGTGTAATATTTTGTAAGCTAATGTTTAATCTAATATAGCATCATTTTAATGTGAAAAATTAGTTATCTGTTTTACTAATGTTGTCTGACACTCCTAATAAAAACAATCTCTAGTTGTAAAAATAGTAATGTCTTTCCAAGTTACAGAAATCCCTGTTGGAAAAACTTCAGGAATTCTAGGCCAGAAAAATTGTTTTAATCATCTTTTTTTCTGGGGAAAAATATCGTGCTGAGGAAGTTAAAGTTCACATCAGCTAGGATGAAAACTGCTGTGCCACACAAAGTTTCATCATGTACCAAAGCATACTTTTTCTATGTAACAAAAGTATGCTTTCTTTCATCTAAAAAAATCTGTATGTGATCAAATATTTTGTATCTCTATGGATATGTACAAAGAGCCTGTTTTGAAGATTATACAGTAGTTCAATTGTTTTCTAATTTGTGTTTAATATTTTAAAATACTTGTCTATGTAATAAGTATGAAATAAAGAACTGTTGTGCAGACTTACATTTTAGGGGGTTTTTTTACTGTCATTTTCGGCAAGAGATGAAAAATAATTTTTTTTTTTGGCATGAGAACAGTTGGAATAGATGCTTTGGGGTTCCTGTGTGAATGCCAGAAAAACTTGTTGTCAAAGGAGTTGTCTCATCAGAGTCAACCAGAATACAACCGGCTTGTAATTACTGGTTTTGTTAACTGAGCTTTGTAATAAAATGGAGACTTCCCTTCTGACAGTCTCAAAATAAACTGGAGGTACCTCAAGAATACTTGCTAAAATTCATTGAATTCACTAATTGCTGAAATTAGCACATATCACTTAAGATGTGCAGTGAAAGCTGGAATATAAACTTTCTGTTCTCTACCTATAACTGTCTTTTCACTCTGATTAAAACACTACTAATATGAACTGGTTTAGACACCAGAGAGGATCTTCACATGAGGTGCAATTTAAGGAATCTGCTGCAAAGTCAGCTTTAATTTCTGCTGCTTCTGCCTCTGTGCTGCATTCTGCCATCCATGTGATTGGACAGTATGTCTTTTGGGGCACTACTAAAAACTATTTCACTGATGCAATCAGTTAAAATGCTCTAGAAGTTTTTAACCTAAATCCACTTTAGTAGGCTGGAGAATAGGACAGCCCCACCACTGCTTGTACCGAACAGCCGAGGAGGTAGTGATCAAGAGCAAAGTGGGGTGGGAGAAGGAGCCAAAGCAGGCTTTGTTGCTGAAAGCAGAATTTCATGCAACTGTAGTCTCTTGTGGCTTCTTGTAGTGTCAAAAAAACCCCAAACCAACTGAAAACCCCAACTTACACTGAATAAAAGGATTTTTAGTAAACAAAGTAATTTCAAGTTGTCTGGCACAGTAGAGTAGAGTTCAATTCCTTTCTTTGGTGTTTTATTTTGTCTGATACTGTCAGTAGCCTAATTATTACTGCACTAATTGAAGCCCTTTTTCAGTAACAAACATCATGCAATATTCTTTGAATAGCTTAATTTTGGGGGGTTTTTTTAAGTCTTGAGTGTATTGCCATGCATTTGCCAGGTCTATTCTTGTCAATTTATAATATAGTTTCAATACTGTCATACCTTGAAGAGAGTTTAGTTTCTAGCAGCTAGGAGAGCTGCAACTTAATCTAATCTAGATTTGCATATTATGACATTTGGATCTCTAACTTTCAGTTTAGTATTTTGCAATTTAATTTGTTCTTTGTTAAAATACAGTTCTGTTTGACATAAAATACTTTCAGCAATGAAGGAACTGATTTTACCAAAAGTGACCAAATTTCCTTTGGTTCCAACTTCCCCTATTGAAGTTCCAGTTTCTGTTATTTTAAAATAAAAGGTAAATTTCTGAACAAAATAGTAATTTAGACTATTTAAGTAATTATACAAAGCATACACCTGGCAACTAGAGGAATTGCAGTATAATACTGAAAATGTTCACCAGAGGTTAAAATTCATCTGAAAATGCCTTAGCGTCGAAATATTTACAATAAATAGCAAAGTACCCAGTTTTAGATCTTATATTGTATATGGGGTTGAAGCCAATGGATATAAAAATCCCAAAGCATTAGAACAGGAGGTATATAGAAGGGAATAATTCTACAGTCAATTTGCTTTGTTGTGCCCGGTAGCTTCACGTCACCCAGAAATATAAACGGAAGCATTTGCCATGCTTAATGGTTTTTCATTTTAGCGTAAGCTTTGGGGAAATTTGTAGGTGGTATTGCTTAGTTCTGCAGTGCTGGTCTTGGGGTTACCATTGAAATATTGCGTGATCTAGACAGGTCTGAATTCTGGAGAACTAGACTTCATGGTGTGCTCTGGTTCATTGTATGTCAGATGTATGTTACTGTCGCTTAGCTACTACTGTCTTCTGAGTTGCTTCACTCGTCCTTCCCAATGCCTGCGTTGAACATCTTGAAGAGATCAGTTGTAGTGATTTTCTGGTTTTTACAAGGAAAATATTTGTCACTATCATGTCTTATCCTCTTCTCCCGCTCCTTCCACAGTAAGGTTGTATCTAGGAGATGAAGAAATCAGTTGAAAAAACTTCCTGATGACTGAAATGTTCTACGTGAATTGCATAGTGATTAAATCACACTGAAGATATGTAGTGTTGTATTCATTTTTCACTGGTTCCTTCAGTGTAATTTGTCACTTTCCCTCTTTCATACAGCTCTCAAGAGACAGAGTTTGTACAGCAGCCCTTTCAGTGCGGTCAGTTACGCAAGCTCCTATAGTCCAAATACTAGCAGCCCCTACAGCAGTGGTTTCAACTCTCCGTCCTCAACACCAGTGAAATCTGCTTTAGTGAAACAGCTCATACCTTCTGGTACCTCAGGTAAGTGTGTGTGTCTGGTCTCTCCCTTTCCCCTTCCTCCTCTGCCTTTCAAAAACATGTGCTCAAATAGATTACATTTGCATTGAACTAGAGTGAGAAAGACACCAAAAACCTGCCAGTCTTTTGTATGCTGTTTGCATCGTGTAGTAATTAAGGCTTTTGAGGAAAGGCTTTTTTACAGACCTTCTGGCATGAGATACATTTAAAATGTTTTTTCTGGATGTCTGCGTCCCTAGGATCATTGATGCATATTAGCAGTTAGACCTAACACATAGCGTTAGTTCCATGGAGTCCCAACATCTGTAAGTGGCTTCTAGAACTGGCTGTGTAATTGACTGGGTTGTAAGTTGAATAGTAGGTGTTCAAAGGTTAGGTGTTGGTAGTTGTAAAGTCTTTACAACTACCCTATTACTTATTAACTGAAACATTTGGTTCGCAACATACCTATCCATCTGTCTGAGATGTGAACAAATATAATCTAAGGAAGAAGTGTGTATTTTAATTAAAGGCATTCCTTGAGGCTTTGCAGTCATCAGCGTAACCACTAACTTCTGGCAGTGTTTTCTGCTTTTATTCTGTACCGTAGACACTTCATTTGCATCAGAAAAATTGATGCCTGGAACATATCTCTACTCAGGTCGGCATGTTGGCTTATTATATATACTTGAACTCAAGTTAGCTTGCAGGGAAGATGAAAAAACATTGCATTGACAATCCAACTATCTGTAGTTTGCTGTGGACTTGTAAAGAGAAGCCTGTGCTGCAGTACATTCACAAGATCCATTACCCGGGTTTTGTTTTAATCTATGTAGCTCTGCGTTGTGTCCTACAATGCTGTATCTGTCTGCAGGACAGAGATGAACTGTAACTGGCAATGGGGTGTCAGCCAGAAAGCAGCAAACGGGAAGAGATTTTCTGGTATGTTACAGTTTAGCAAAGGTGTGTGCACAGAACAGGTAGTATTTTCAGATAAGCTGTACTTTAAGCATTTCAGACTGAATCAATATTCATTGGATCAGCAAGTCCTTATTGTCAAGAAGGATATAGACAAGCATGTCTTACAAGTCAGTGTGCAGGGACAAGAATAAAAGCACAAGTGGAACAGGTATGCAGTTGCTCTTTCTGTAAGAGTTGGGCAGACTTCATAGCAGCTGAAACTTGGTACAGGTAGACCAGATTATATGACATTGATTTGTTTTGCCACCATTATAATGATTCTATAAAGTTGCTCATTTTTAGAAGGTAATGGCTAAGCTCTGCTTGTGTAAAGTATATTTTCAGCCTAGGTTTGCAGTCAAATGTTTCAAATGGTTTGACAGATTCAATGTCTCAGTCATAATCCGTTTTCAGATTGGTGTTTTTCTTACTAGGAAAGGAAATACAGCTTGCCTCTTTGCCCTTTTTTTTTTTTTTTAACATTTCCTATTACTTTATTTTCTTTCTATAGGTCATCTTAAAAGTTCAGCAGATAGAAATCCCCCACTAAGTCCACAGTCCTCTCTGGACAGTGAATTAAGTGCATCAGAGATGGATGAAGACTCTATTGGGTCTAATTACAAGCTAAATGATGTTACAGATGTGCAAATTCTAGCACGAATGCAGGAAGAAAGTAAGTATTTTCCATCCTGAAAACAAAGTGGAACAGTTGATCTTTTTTTATTGAGTAAATGCAGAAGCACTTGCTTAAAAAAAGAATGGAAAAGGGGTGTGGATTTTACTGTGGATGTACAAACTTAGTTCTCCTGATAAGGCTGGCTAAGGACTTCTGTCTCCAGGATAAGGACAGGAAGTTGCTGTGCAGAAGTGTTCTTTAGGAACAGCGGACAAAAATGCTAGAGAGAGCATGAATTTGTAGCATATAGTATATGCTAAAAGAATGGTCGTTAGACTGGACTGCTGCCTGTCACCAGTCTTCTTGGGAGATACGTGCATTCCCTGTGTAATCTGGTCTTGTTGACATCAGTGCTTAAACCATTATTTAAATCACCAGAATGTAAAGTCATGTAAAGGCAAAGAATAGTGAAGAAAAGCACCTCTGCAGATGTCTCTCTTTTATTATAGGTTTAGTTGACACTTTGTCTTTTTGTCCCTCTAAGACTGCAGAAAGTGGTAGTAAATTTCAGTTGTCTAACTAGGTGGTCTCCAGACTTTTTTACTGTGTACCCCTGTCAGTGGGGGGGAGGGAGGGGAACCAAACCCCCAATACGTATGTATTTTTTTATAAATTATATACATGTACTACTCTACAAATAATTACATACAAAAAATACACAAATGTACACAAAAATAGACATTTTTAAAGGATGAGATAAAGATGAAATAAATGCTTTTTTAAAAAGATTATTTTATTAGTAGTACAAAGCTTCCATCCTGCACTCCAGTAGATTGTTTTGTGTACCCTCTGAGGTGTATGCACCCCACTTTGGAGACTACTGGTCTAACAACTCTAGTTTCTCTAGGGGTAGCTTGTCATACAGCTTTTTTGTTACATTTACTGATACACAGCAAAAGAGATTTCACTCTGGCTGCTATAATTGTTATAGGATGTTACACGGTATCAAAATTAAGGTGTAGCCTGTGTTACTGGTATCCAGCCTGGGAGAGGAGATGCACAAGTATGCAGCACGCCTATACCGCTGACTGCTGTAGCAGGAAAAGGAATGAATGCACCTACTTATTTCAAGACTTTATCAGCTGGTAGATAACTTATTTTGGTACTAATCTGGAATTAATTTAATGCCTCAAGAGGAGTTAAGGTGAGCCAAATGTGAGTTTGAGCACTGGGTAATTTGTATGTGCTGTCTCTAGTTTGAACCATTTGTGGGCTGGAAGCAAGTAAACAATGTTCTCATTGTTGCCAGGCCTCCGGCAAGAGTATGCAGCAACTGCTTCTCGGCGTAGTTCTGGTTCTTCTTGCAATTCTACAAGGCGAGGCACGTTCAGCGATCAGGAGCTCGATGCACAGAGTTTAGAAGATGAAGAAGACGGCACACATCACACAGTGCACCCTGCTGTTAACAGGTTCTCACCATCACCTCGCAGTTCTCCCTGGCCTTCACCAAAACAATCTCCAAGGAATTCACCTCGCTCCCGATCGCCTGCTCGAAGCATAGAATACAATAGAGTGTCACCCCAGCCGATGATTAGCCGTTTACAGCAACCTCGTCTTTCACTTCAAGGTCATCCTACAGATTTGCAGACTAGTAATGTCAAAAGTGAAGGTAAAAAGCTCTGTCTCAAATTCATTACACAAGTAGTTGTCTAGTTCCTGTAAGGGATTTTGGTCAGTGTGCAGTGCTAAAACTATATGCCTGTGTAACATCATGGCTTAATCTCAGGGTTGTTGAAGAAAAAGCAGAGCCGAGCGAAGCTTAAGTTCTGCTGGGGAACCCTTGCAGTCAGATAAGTTGATAGGCTTATATTTATTTTAGATGTTAACCAGTCACTCTGGGAGTAACCGACTTTTGTGGTGACAAGAGTTCTATCTTTGGCAGGCAAATGCACAAAAATAAAGCAGAGCCCAAGGGAAACTGTCATTCACCAGTAGGGCTAGGCCTTGCAGATAACAGAATAAAATGCAGAGAAAGTAACTGTGGTCAGATAAGAGTAACATGGCAATTTTTTTCATGCCTGTAACCTGTGAGACAGTTGAATGCTTTCTTCTGGCAGTGCAGGACTGACCTCTTTGAGCATGAACACAGCATTAAAAATATTAGTACTCAAGTCACACCTTTGTTGGATACGTTAGATGTCTCAAAGCAGTACAGACTGCTGCGTAATAAAAAACAGAACTTGCAGTTGACACAACTATACTATGTTGGCATGGAACACAGTATTATATCCTGATATGATTTTCCTTCTTGAATGTACTTTTTCCAGGCATCAGTCTGGTAGAAATTCCTTTAATTGGGCTGAAATTTCACAAGCATATTCCCATTTTAACAAATGTAGTTGTTATCTGGCAAATACAATCTTAAATTCAGAAATTATACACATCTAGGTATTAAGAATTCACCTTATTTTTTTGTCTTACCTGAAATCTGGATGCAAAATGTCTGCAGTAGAGATGATGTAGAAATGCATTTTTAAACAGTTCATTTTCTGGGTGTTTTTTCCCCCTAATATAGCAAATATGCCACTTAGAGTTTTGTTGACTAAGAAATTTTAGAATTTTAATCAGGAAAATCAGTGCGCTAGGCTGGAGCTTTTGGGGAAGGTGATCATGCAAATTTAATTAGCTATTCAAGCATATCTTTGGAAGGGTTAGCCCAAGTCTCATCTAGTAATAGTGGTTTGGGGAAGTCTTAGGTATATAGGAAAATATACAACACACAAACTAATCAGTTACATTGTGGCTTCGTGGAGAATTCCCTTCCCATTCTTTTCTGGGGTTTCAGGAAAGTCCTAACGCATGCTAGATGAGTTACAACAAAAATATCCCATGAGAGGCAAGGTACCGAAGTTGGTATCCCACATACCAGAGGGATCAAAAGAGAGCGTGCAATCGTGTTTCTGAAACACTTCTAAGGAATTCTCTCGCAGTGGTTTTTGTGCAGCTCAATGTTGCTTGGATATTCAGCGTTGATGTAGCAGCAGCCAAAAAGAAGTGTTTGGGATTTTTTTTCTCTCAAATGGTGTGATGGAAATTTGGTTGACAGGGCTCAACAATGTACCAACTGCAATGCAAACTACTAGGTGCGGAAAGTACACTTGTAGGAATATTGAGCCTATGAAAAGAGTCTTACTTTTGTTTTCATCTTCAGTGCTTGTGCATGGTTAGCATACTTCTTTTCTGCATCCCTCTACAGAATCAGGTGGGCCACTTTTCCTGGCAAGGCATCTGCAGTCTTCTATCCGAAGTATGTCATCAACCCAGCTCTGCACGGGTTGGTGATACACTGAATGTCATTAGACTTAAGAGAGAGATTTAATGGCATCTTTTTGTATTCTGTGAGCAACGGTACAAATTTCGGAAGACCCTTGAAGAACCGGTATTAGCTGAATAGATAGTCAAGTCATATGTGAAAGTTGAAGCATAACTGGACAATTCAATAATTTTGAATGCTCTGTGTGAAGAGTTTTTTCAAGTGGGTGGCTGTTATTTATTGTATAATGTGCTGATAAGGGACTGGGTAGTCCCAAGAATTGACTCAAAAAATTTACCATGTGTGTCAAAAACATTACCATTATTCTTCAGGCAAGCATTCTATATTATAAATAACTTTCTAGGTAAAGACTTCAAAAATGTGCAGAACTGCAAATTAGCTTTGCCTATTCAATTTCTGTAACAGTAGAACAAACCCCAGAAAATCATAATCCAGATATGTTTCAATTTCAAAACATACTATGCTTGACTTTTTTCACCACAGGTGAAAAATGTCCATTGTTGCTTTTTTATATAAATATTTTGTATATGATAGATCTGAGAATAGTATAGACCTTTAATTCAAGATAATGGAAGAACTGTAACGTAACAAATTATGCTTTTAAATTGCAGTGTAGTTTTATATGGCTAAAACTTTGTGTCACTTAGATTCGGGGTTCAACTATGGGTTCATAACCTGAACTTTGCGGCATCAGACTACATGTGGTGTCTTTGTATTATTTCATACAGAGAAACTAAGGCGTAGTCTTCCAAACCTGTCCAGGACATCTAGCATCCAAGCTGAGTCTGTGAAAAACAGCAGAAGTGACTCAAACTTCCAAGTGCCAAATGGAGGAATACCTCGCATTCAACCTCAAGCCTCAGCCAGTAAGTACCTAAGTACCTTTAGTGTATCTTTCAGAATTAAGTGATGGTAACTCAGCTGTCTTCCAGTTTCATGGCAAAAAGAAACACTGCATATCACACTGAAGAAGCTAAGCTTGATTTTTAATCGCATCTGTGTGAAAATCTGCTTCTTTAGTACACAAAATCTGGTACTGAGTATATTCAAAGAATTTCTGCTCTCTTATTAAGGTATCATTCGTAGTTTCCTAGCAGCATACATGGAAGTACTATAATATAAATACAGTAGTGTTACACACTTCAGAAGCCATTTATTTTCTGTGATTTACAGAAGCTATAGTGCTTTGTACTGTTGAATTTTATTCTCAGCTACAAAAACTTAGTAGGCTATGAAAACACTAACCTAGGTGATGTTTACTGCTTTTTTAAAATAGCGAAACCTGATCTGAAATCATTCATGCAAGTTTAACTCCTGTTTGCTGTTTATTTTCTTCTTTTGTTTTGTCACCTGGAAATTATATATTCAGTTGCAGATTTTATTTACTTTCTTAAGTGTCTGTGTTTCTCAGAAAAGGTTTGCATGAACCTGTGTCCCGTGAAACAAATTATCCCATTGCTGGGCTAGGGGCTGCTCCTTTGTCCAAAAGTGGACTACTGATGTGAGAACGCTGCTAATCTCACAAGTCTCTTAAAAATGGTGACCTTAAAGAAGCCAAAGCAAATGAAACTTAAATATTCACTGCTTCTTTATATGTCAATATTGACAGTTCCCATTGTTTTAAGGTAAAATGGTCAGGAAACGTTTAAACAAGTTTCAGAATTAATAACCTTGTGTGACATTTTCAAGGGAAGAACACATTAGGAATATTATTATGTGTAGAGCTCTGAACTATAAAAGTTCTATAAAAAAAAAGTTCTGAACTATAAAAGTTCTATGATAAAAGTTCATCAGTAATCTAAATATTTGATGGGAAATGTAAGATAATATTTGTGAATGAAACAGATTTTTTTTTTAACCCATTGAACTGGCATACCTAGTTGGCCTTGTTAACTAATCCTTTCAAAACAGTATGTTAATGCAACCAAATACAGTTAAATACAGAATAAGGAACACAGGCCATGCTAATGACTACAAGATTTCTATCTTTGTAGCAACTCAGAGCAGATGTAAGGGTTGTGTGGACAGTCAGTCCCAGCTGTGTGATACTGTAGCCAGAGAAACTGTGACCTTGTGATTGTTCCTTCCACCTTGCCCCCTTCTTCCAGTCTTCACAGATGCTCAGAAGGTGGGATTTACACCTGAAGGGGCACGTGTGTAGTTCAAATGCAGGACTGTCATCTGCTAGGCAGGCTTATCAAACTGTAAAGCACTTGGAGCAGTTGGACAGCAGCTCTCCAATAGTGTTATTTTTGTGATGGAAAGAATAATCAAAATGACCTGAAAGAAAATGAAGAAAAAATATTTTTACTAAAAACCTGTGCGGATTTTATTTGATGTTTTTAAATTGAGAGAACTGGAAAGGACAGAGTACAGAGGGCAACTTAGTTGGCTAGAAAGCTGTTTCTAGTCTTAAAAGTGAAACTTTATGGAAAGATCAGACAGCAGAAGCCTCCCTATTTAATATTCAGTGAGTTACTTCATTGCAGGAGCCAAAGACTTATGTTTATATACATATCATTTTTTTCAACTCGTGGATGGATTGAGAATCACAGAAATTATTAGATAAATTTGCTTGCTTTTCATGTGAATCTTTCCCCAAATGTCAACCACTCTAGAGCAACTTACATTTAAATGTAAGTGAAGTATCATTAATAAAGCCCAGATTTCTAGCTTTTACAGTTTCCCTGCTCTTACAGATGTTTGTCAGAGTCTTGCTATTGACAATCGTAAAACGGTTTGTGTATGAAGTCAATGAGTAAGTATCTTTGCTTAGTCTGGATTAAAAAAAATTCTGCAAAACTGTACATTGTATAAAAATTTCCAGAATTGTGTCCTTTTTATTGCATACTTTTTGGTTTATTGGTTTTATGTTTTGTCACCTTGCACAAAGCACTGTTAAATTGCAGCAAATTTTTGTTTTGTTTTTGGCAATGACTTCTGGGTCATAGGATTCAAAGCTTCCTCATATACCTGCTAGTTTTGCATGAGCTTACCTTTGCAAGGATGCTGGCTTGCCACCTGAGGTCACTACTTTTCTCCTTGTCAAAGATCTGCTGTTCATAATTTACTTGCACATTTGCTGTGGCTGCAATGCTGAACTTGCTATGGTTGCTGGCATTCAAAAATGAGTTGGGAATCCAGTAAGTTTCTGAAAAGATAATTCCTGTTATGGCTACATAGGCAAATTGTACACGCTTGCTTAAAGAGTAGAGGGAAGATACTTATAATATGTTTACAGGTACAACTGTAAAACATGAAAACATTTGGTATTTTAAGTTTTAGCTGTAATGTGGTGAAAAATCCAAATTCTTTTTGAAAAGCAACTGAGTGAATTACATAGTAGTTGTAACTATTAGAATCTTCATTTACATCTGGTTCTCCATGCTGTTATGCAGAAAGTACTTTTTTATATGAAAGCTATTAAAGATTTCACCTTAAAACTGGAAGATACAGTACTACTTGCATTCTCCAAGGAATAGGTATCTTTTAGACATTGAAGTGTAAGAATGATGGGTAGTCTCTATGTTTGTGTCTTACACCACATAGATTGTGCAAAGCTGTAGAACTTCCAGGGTGGCTTCCATGTAGGACCTATGCGCTTTCTAGTGGATTGTGTGTGATACTTCTGTACTTAGCTGGCACTGTTAGCACATGAGTGTTAAATCTTTAAGCAGAGTTAAATACAACACTTTTTCAAAGAGCTAAGCTGTAGATTGTTCAAACTATCAGTAAAGTAACTAGTCTGCTTGCCAAGATCCAGCTGCTTGGCATGTTCAGGGTCAAAGAAGAAAGCGTATATTTTGAGGAAACTTGAGTATTCCAATTCGGTTGATCAGAATTAAACGCAACTACATGTATTCAGCATGCACCACTTGTGACAGGCAACGTAATAGCATACGGAGCGCTTCAAGAGCAGCCAGTAGTGTGGATAAGCATCCACTCCATGCTTATCTCAGACTGCATGTTTCCTCAGCGTTGCCCAAATTGCACTGCCTGAAGTTCTTTTTAGTGATTCAGTGCACATAATTGTTTAGCTATTGAGTCTCTGTTTTCCTGGAGTCCCCATTGAGAAGGAAAGAATTTGACATACATATTTTTGAAATCCTTTCCATATCATCCCACATCTCTGACTTGCAAGTAGTGTAAATAATGATGGGGGAAGAAACTCAGTGCCATGTGCAGTAGCTTATTTAAATCTAACTGAATGAATTGGGGCAAACTAAATTCAAGATCATAAATATGAAGGAAGAAGCTGTTCTTGATTTTGTGTGGTATAACAAAAACACTGACTCAGTAAAAAATGGTATAATGGAATACTTGTGGACAGAAACGCACTGGCCCGTGGTCTGCCACACTAAATTCCTAGGAATTGTGCTCATTTTTAGACATCTTAATGTGCTTAGCTGACTGTTTATGGGTATGCCTTAAAAAAAGTTTATAGCAAGACTATGTGCCAGAAGTTGAATAAAAATTACATATTACCACATGCTCTTTTGCATCAGATTCCAGTTGGTAGAAAGAATAGGGGGTTTGATTCTTAATAGCCACAAGCAGCATTTTATCATGTTTATAAACACTATAATTCCTTTTTGCTGTTTGTTGAAAGTGACATGTTTTAGTTAGTTAACACTAAAATAAATAGGCCCACCTAGTCTGATTTTCAGAATGAAGGTAAAACACATGATGAACTTCTTTTATAGTTCACAAAATATTGTGAATTTTGCACTGACCGAAGGATAAGAAAGGTGATGGCAACTATTATATGCTATCAAGTTTAGAACAGGATTAGCTAGTATTAATAGGATTCCAACTGCTCTTCCCCTACCTTCTCTTTAGCAATATTCACCAATTGGTGATAGGATTACTGAGTTTTCTTACTCAGCGTCAGGATCTTTATGCACAGCTGTTCCTCCATCTTTCTTCCTTCTCACTTTGGAAATAAGCCTTGCTAGTGCAGTCAGTTTTATGCTGGTATAAAACTCCATATACTGATGTGAGCAGAGATGTTTATTCGTACCTTTTCATTTTAAGAAGCCTTTCTGTAGGCAAAGCTTTATTTCATTGACTACTTTCCTCCTTCCCCCCTTAAATATGCTGTGGTGAAAATACGCTGAGTTGATGCGTTCCTTCTGGCAATAGGTAATTCTCTCCTTGCCAAGATTCTGCAGCTCTTGGAACATTGGCTTCTCTCACTTAGTAACTGGGAGGTGGTGAGATCATTTCAAGGCAGTATCAACCGTTGAGCATTACTAGAAAAAAGACAGGACACAGGAGCAATAAAACCCCCAATTTTTGCCATGCTGTCTACGTGCTGGCAGCTCATTATTCTGAAGTGTTATGCCTTCAGTTTGAGTCCTCTTGCATACCTTTTTGGGGCGGGGGGGAAACAGACATATCTCAAAATGGCTTACATTTGCATAACTGAAGAAAAAAACTTTTTTTATATGATGATCACATTTAGACAAAGATTTATGCTTTTGTGTAGTCTTAGAACATTTTTTGATTTCTCCTTTAAAATGAAAAGTTTAGTCTTGCTAGGTCAAATAGGACAGTTTAATTTTCATCTTCATATCTAATCTTGCACTCATATTGCTGTAGCATGTTTGCTAGGTGGCTTGTTCTCCCTTTGGTGTATTAATTTTTTTTGCCTATCTGGGCTTTTTGCCCTGCAAGAAGCTTTACTCTTACAGAATCTGCGCGTTTTGCACTGCAAAATTTCTGACACGCTCCTCTGTAACTCTTTGCTATTAAGAGTAAGCACCATTTAAAAAATCCCCATCACTTCCAGAGTCATAACAGCTTTTTGAGTGTGTTACTCACTCTGTTTCTTGATGCTTCACAAGTGGATGCAATTCTGAAATTCCCAGTAAACTTAGTTTTCTTATCTCCTTAGACAAATATAACACTTCTTGTCTTTCAACAGCTCTGCTGCAAAGGCAGAAAAATTTGCCTCGCGCTGCCTTCAAAACCAAACAGTTTCTTCAAACTCCATCTACAAAAGGAGGTAATTAACCTACAACCTCTTATCAAGCTCCAGCAAATCTCAGATAATTGTTCACCTGCATTAAATCTCACACATTCTAGATAAATAAAATTGCTGTTGCATGTCGAGATTAACCAAGTGGTCCTTGCTGTATCAAAGTATGTAACATTTTGGTCTAAACATAAAAAAAACCAAACCTGCATCGGGTAGGAAAAAAAAGTATTAAATTGGATTTTGAGATAAAATCCGAGGATTGGTGACTTCTAGCATTAATCGGGAAATCTGGATTAGAAAAGTAGACTCCTGAATCCATACTCATTAGGGCTACGTTTGGATAGGAATCTTTTTAATTGTAAAATACAGGTTTTAAAACAAAGGTTGTAAAACTTTTCTTTTTTTGATTGTGAAAAAATATGCAGACAAGTGAAAATATCATCCTTTGTGCTGGAAACAAAAGCTAACGAGTTTATCCTTGAAAAGATGAACACAGAATGTCAACTTGTTTTGTGCATACATGCACACGTGCTTGCACTTTCTTTTTTCCTCTCAAAACTGCAAGATTAACCCCAACATACAGTAACTTAGATTTGTATTTTTTTCTCAAGGAATTACAGACCATTCTATATAATATTCCAGTTTGCTAACGGCTGAGGTTGCCTGCTTTTTGGGAAGAAAATGAAATACATTGTCTGTAATCCAATTTGACAATTTTTAACTGATTTTAATTAATCCTGGCAGCCTTGTATGTGACACTGCCTCAATTTCACTACTAAGATAAAACAATTTCATGATTTTGGTTTTAAGCATAGTTGGTCTTGTTGTTTGTTACAATGTAGAAGATCTCATCTTAAAGATCATATTTCACTTGAGACCAATTTGTAAGCTCTCTGTATGATAGAATCCTTTAAGGATTGTGAGAGTCCTTTGTGCAGGTGCTGAGAGTGGCTGACAAAAAATGCACGTGTTTCTCTCGGTGGTTTCACACCACTAACTTCTTCAAGTCAACTCCATTCCATGTGGAATGTTTTAGCAAAGTCTAATGACTTTGTAACAGATTCACGTGGCTTAACAGGAGATCTCTAACAGTCTTCAGAGTATTTCATACCAAATGGAGAAAAGTTCTCTCAATGTTCTGCTTTTGCGTAAGACCACCATCTTTATTCCTCTGCAAAGCTTTCCGTGCTGTCTTTTTAGTTGGCCATGCCTTCACCTTCATCTGAGGATGTCTGGAACACTTATTAGGTCGATGGCCTAGTGTGGAGCTGTGGAAATGTACAGAAAATTAAGTTCTCTTTGTGTTTATATTATTTGTAAAATTTTATTAAACCTTAGAGAATGAGGAACTGAGCATGTCGCACCACCAGTTACGTGTTGCAGTTAATAGTTGCTGTCATTCCTCACTGCAAATGAGGACCCAACATGTCATTTTCAGTTATTTGCTATTTTTTTAGTCTTTGCGTTGATTTTCTTGCTTCTGGTCTGAGATTCTCACAAGTATAGAAGCATTATCCAGTAATGAAACAAGACTTTTGTTTCAAAAGAATAATCTATGAGCAACAATTGGGTTTAGTTTCTTAAAATACTGTTCTTTACATAGCTTGACACCTTTCATACACAGACGTTGGCTTTTTTTACCATTTTGTGTAAAACTGTTCAAAATACATTAAAATAACTCTTTACCTCACTGTAACAGATTTGTTAAGGCTTATACAGCAATCCTGTATCAGTCAGACCATAGAATGATAGAATGGTTTGGGTCATCTAATGCAACCCCCCTGCAGTACGCAGGGACATCTTCAACCAGATCAGGTTGCTCAGAGCCCCATCCAACTTGACCTTGAATGTTTCCAGGGATGGGGCATCTACAGTCTCTGGGCAACGTGTTCCAGTGGTTTACCACCCTCATCATAAAAAACATCTGTCTTGTATCTAGTCTGAATCTACCTCCTTTTAGTTTAAAACCATCACCCCTTGTCCTATCACAGCAGGCCCTGCTAAAAAGTCTGTCCCCGTCTTTCTTATAAGCCCCCTTTAGGTACTGAAAGGCCGCAATCAGGTCTCCCCGGAACCTTCTCTTCTCCAGGCTGAACACCACCAACTCTCTCAGCCTGTCCTCAGATCATTTTTGTGGCCCTCCTCTGGACCGACAGGTCCATGTCTGTCTGGTACTGAGAAGACAGAAGAGTTTATTGATTCCCATCATTTTACCTCATCTGTTCTTTCGTATCAGTCTGAATCATCTCATCGCGATGATTTAACAGCTGCATTGGAATTGACTCTGGTTTTAAGCAGCTGGCCTTGGGGTGCAAGCCAGATAAGGTGGTAGCTTCACAGCAGCCTACTTTGCCAGGTGGGGTTCTCTTGCTCCCTGCCCAGAATCCAGAGAGGGTGGGAAATCTAAGTGTCACGACTGGACAGTGCTGTTTATTTTTATTGTTGCCAGATGTGTTAATTGTAGTTGGTTCTAGTCGTTTACTTTCTAAGGAGATGGAGTTGCATAAAGTTGTTAAGCACTACCCTTAACATTTACGTGTGTTTGTTAAACATGGATCAGCTCAATACCGCGCACGGGTATACAATTATCAAATAGTCTTTGGCTAAGGCAGTACCTCACTCTTTGTGATCCTGGCTTACAAATAGGCCAAACTGAGTTTTATTAAATATCTGAACCCACACTAAGACAAAATTCTTTGTGTAGAGCAGAATTATTAGGCAGTTTGCCAGAGGTTACATCATGTGGACTGCTTTGGAGATCACAGCACATTGGAAGACAATTCACTCCTTTATGCACAAGAATGAATACAGCTCTCAGCAATGTCTGCAATGCCGTGCTGACAGGAAACGTTTTATGAATTGACAGCTCAAGTTGGAAGCGTGGTAAAATATGGTCAACGGAAGACTGGGGAGAATGAAGAGGACTAATTTACTGGATGCTTGCTTTCACTGGGAATGTAACAAGCTTTCTTCAGTTACAACTTTTCATTGCTTATGTTCTGTACCTAAAAACCTTTTCCTCTAAGATGCCCAAAGCTATATTCAGTTTTTTATACGCTGGCATTGCTCTGTTGGTCAGTTGCTAGCGTGATGCTGTATTTGTGTTCCAAGCAAGTGTTGTAATGAGAAGTTGAGTGATAAAAGCTCCCTATGTTTACACTCTAGAATCACTTAGAAATTCTGCAGATTCGATAGCACCAATGTTACAGGCAATGCTGCGTTTTAAAAAATCCTAGTTTGTAATCTGTCTTAGTCCCAGAAGCACTTCGCTGCTGCTCTTGTCCAGTCATTCTGCTGTTAATGCTTTCCTTAATCCATCCCCTGGCTTGATGCCAAGGTTTTTATTTTAAGGGGGTTGGTTTGTTCTCCTTGCTACTTACCAAGTGTCCTATATTGTTGACATCTCTGCCACCTTTTTTGTCACCTTTTCCCATGAGCAGCTTCATGCTGTTTGATACAGCTATCAGTGGAAAGCCCTCTTGGGTAATCCAGAAAGGAATCAAATCCACATCTGCAATGAGGCACATAATAATCTTCCTAGACATCCCCTGTAAGGAATGGCTTCAAAATACAGCCTGAAAACCACCACTTCCTCTGTACCCCATTTAGGATGTCATGTTCCTGTCATTACTCATTCCTTCTCTCACTCCTCATGCTCTTAGTGGATCTACCTTGTAAAATGGTAATAAAAGCTATGTGAAGGACCGTCTTTATGTACAACATCTGTCAAAGAGGACTCAACTTCGGTCTCTGTGCAAAGAAGTTTGTTTAGTGGAGGAAAGAATAGCTCATGCAAATTCACTAAATGTAAACGTGATTTTGTTTTACTTTCTTGATTGTCAACTGTTACTGACCTACCCTAATGATTAGTTTGAAAAGCTGGTGAAATACCATTTAATTATTAAGATGATGGATTAGTTTAAGTATTCTGTTTAGTGATACATTGTGCATATTTTGAAAATATTTCTCATACTCATGAAGAGTTGTGCTTAAGGTTTGGCATTATCAAAGAACTGTTGAATAGTCTTTTTTGTCAGTATTTTGCTGTGAGGATCAGTTGTCATTCACTGCTAGCTGTCTACTAAAATTCAGAAGTAATTCCTGAGTATATAATAAATAAGAATTCTTGCTGTTACATTAATAGCATTGAGGAAAATAGATATATTGTACAAAAATAAATTGCTAATGGAGTACATCTGCATGTGCACCTTGCTGCACAACGGGCTGTATTGTAAGTCTAAGCCTCTAAATGGATTTTCACTGGCTTGCTAACCTTTCCCGGAAGGGACTTGATAAAGACCTATATTGTACATACTAACTCAGATACAAAGTATTTTAATTCAGATATTAGTTATAATTTAGATAACGTTTGTAAAAGAGGAAGGCTATAACTTGTTGTCTGTTTTAAGTTACCTAGCAGCACCTTAATCTCTTTGGTGTTGGGGGTTGGCTGACCCTATCTTTTTTTCCCCCCATCAGCCAATAAATCTGGGACGTGACCATACCTTTATGTGAATTCTAATTCAATGGATTTGGTTAAAAAGAAGAGCATAAAAGAAACATTAAGCTGATCTGTGCTCAGAATTTCATCATTTGAAAGCTAACATATGCTTTGAATCTATTTAAAGACTGTATCACACTAGAATCCTGTATTCCTCAATGTGTTCTTTCAGGGATGGGAGTTAGGTTCATGGGTTTCTGGAGCAGCTAAATTTCTTCTTAACAGATATGTTGTCCTCTGTTTCTGTTTGACTTGACTGATAGAATACTTAGAGCCTTACTAGTATGACTTATAAATCCAGATAAATAAGTATTTGTAGTAAGCAAATGGGGCATTAGTTACGATATCAGAAACACATGAAAAAAAGGACATCTGAATTCCTGTTTCTCATTGCTGCTTGATTGGCTGTATTCCATTATACATTTCATATTGTTTGAATCTTTGCATAAAGTAATTTCCTGGGTTTTATTTCAGTTATATTGTAACTTAAGCTTGAAAGTAACTTCCGTATTTTATTTTCTAGTACCTTCTTCGAGTAAATTTCGCTCACCTGCGGCACCGTCTCCCCTAGCTCTGCGACAACCAGTGAAGGCGTTTAGTAACCATGGACCCGGTTCAGTTGCTTCTCCAGAAGCCACACAGCTGACACACAGTAGTTCTTCACCAGGGCCTCTTGCAGCCCAGAGTTCAGGCTTGCCGAGCCCTGCCAGCAGTATTAACAGTACTACTCTTACCAGACCGGCAGGGACGGCAGGGATGAGGAGTGGTTTGCCCAGACCCAGTGCCCCTTCTACAGGGGGCATCCCAGTGCCTCGTAGCAAACTTGCACAGCCTGTTCGCAGGTGAGTATGTGACAGGCAGCCTTGGTTTGAAGTTTCCGTAATGAATTTTGTATGTTGTGTATCTGTGCTGCAATTCTTACTTTGGTCTCATGGTATTTACGGTGTAAATGGAGACTTCCACGTGAAGTATTTGACTTTTTTTTTCAAAACAGATTTAAAGCAAAACCGAGAGAAAAAGGTTCTTGAATTAGAGTGTGAAGGTGAAGGCGTGAAAGTGAAATGAATGACGAAAGATCCTGAACTAAGTAAATAAAGCATCTTAGTCCGGGCTGAGAAGGCAATAAGAATTTGTCTGCATGTGGTAAAAAGTCATTAAAATACAGCTGGGAAGGGAAAATTCATTTGTACCCCTGAGCGACACGTTCTGAAGTCAGAACTATTGCAGTTCCTTTTGTAATCCGTATGTCAAGCAGTGGTACCACAGTGAGAACAGTTTCTTTCCTTGTGCAGCTAGAAGCTTTAGGAAGGAAGACACGTGAGGACAGAGGAGGCATCCATGGCATTTGCTAAATTTACCATAGTAATAAATGCAGTTAACTCGGAGGACAAAACAAAACTTTCAGCTCAAACGTAACCTCTGTGCTAGCACCCAGCTGGAGAAGTTGCTTCATGTCAGGGTGCTGTGGAAAACAACCGCGAGAGAGAGTGAGTATTAACTGGAAAGGCTACATGGACAATTTGTCTTCAGGAGAATCAGAAGGAAGTGATGCATAATTTAGAATATGTGCTCTTAATGCCACGCTAATGTGGATATTTACTGAAGGTGTCAAGTGGAAGCCAGCTGATGTAAAGAAGCAGTCATCCTTGAGGAATATTAAGAGTCCCGTTAAACAGAAAGGATAAACAGTTGTCTTCAGTACCGTTGAAAAGATGGAACAGCAGTAAATAGTGAAGTGGAGGAGTTCTGTTCTGCGATGAGTGCTGGGCGGGGGAACGATAAGTGACTGTCACAGTATTGACTGGTTTGCACTCCGAGTCTGCACTGTCAGCAGCATGAAACTTAGGATAATAAAAAGCAGTTGGTTTTGACAGGAAGTTCTTAATAGTAGCGAAGTGTGGTTGTCCAGATCACAACTTGTCTTTTACAGGAAAGTGTTTCACTTACTGAACTTACACAGTTGTTGTTTTTTTTTAAAGTTTACGTACATAATCCAGTATCTGTACACAATGCAATAATGAAGTATCTATGAAAGTCAAGATTTTGATGTAAGCAAAACGTAATACTCTAAACAAGGATTTCCCTGTTTATACATCACTAAAAAAACTGGCCTATTTTTAGATGGCAGCAGATTAAGTTTGTATTCTTACGGAGTGTAGTAGCAAAAAGTCTTCTGTCTATTTATGCAGATGTTTTTCTGAGATGGTAGTTGCCAAGATACAACACCCAGATCCTGAAACTGAAAATACTTTGGGGTTTATCTTAAGTAAACTGTGTTGCAGAGGAGTAAATAAGTGTGTATTTCAATTATTTATAAAATGTTTAAATTCTTCTGTATTGTAGATGGAGACTTCAGCAGTTATGTATGAAACTGAAAAACATCTCGTTTTGTTTTAGATCATTGCCAGCTCCGAAGACCTATGGCAACGTGAAAGACGAGAGCTGGAAAGACGGCTGCTACTGAACTGCAAAGCTTAATACAAAGTTCCAGTGCTCACGGATGCTTCCTCACCAGGCTAAAAGACAGCTTGATTATACAAACTGTTCAGATGTGACTTTGGGATTTGTAAAAATTCCGGACCTCTCTGTCTCTAATTCGCACAAACTGGCAGAGATTATAAAGCAGCACTTTAATGACATCTAACATCAGATGTTTGGTGATCATACAATCACTTCTACATTAAATTGCTATCAGTTCTGGGTTTTTTTTTTTCTTGCTTGCTAAAAAGATATCAATATGAGCATTTATGACAGTGGCCAATGTCTGGGCAAAAACCTAACGAATGCCAAAGAAATGCCCATCTTGAAAAACAGCAAGTATAGCCGTCAACTTACATTGTCCAAAACTTCATTTTCAGCCTGTTTTAATTCAGCAGAAAGATTGGTGAATATGTACTATTGAAACAAGACTACGGTGATCAGAGCTAATATTCTGATTGCAGACTGCTACAGTGCTGGTGAAACATTGCTTTTAACAACTGTGTGAGATTCTCAGTGGGGAAAGCGGTACGTACGTCCTTCAGAAAGATTCGGAAGTGACTCTGGAGGATTAGGCAGGACAGTAAGCGGTAGCCATGGCTTTTATTAACATTAAAGATTTGAATGTAGCAGACACGCAAATGCAATAGTATAGATTGCATCTTTCCTATGTTGATTTTATCAGCTTTATCTGCTCTTATATGTTTGATTGCCAAAAGGGCTTACTATCAGTTGTACAATCTTTCTAACCTTAAAGTTCCTGGCTCAGGAAAGATGGCCTTTGCTATTGTAGCCACATTTTTATCACATGGCTCGCTATTTGGGAAAAACTTTTTTTATAGCAGGTTTCCTTAAAAAGGAAAGAGCAAGTCACAATGTTAATTTGTTCCAATACCATACCACTATGCTTGCAGCCTGGAGCAACTGTAAATGCTGGTAGTTAAGGAGAAGGAAACACAACTATGCACTTGTAACATACAAATTTTAAGGTAATGAGTTGACTCTTGATGCCAAATGATATTCATTTAGGTGATGTTCCATGGTATGAGGGAGTTTTCTGTATCCTATTTTTTTACTTTCATCCATTTCTTAAATTGGTTTATTTTAAATTGTAAATATTTTTACAGAAGATATTGCCCATGTAAGTGTGTTTAAATATGTACTTTGCCTTACATACGTGTATCTTACATTACTGGTAACAGAGTATGAAACCTGCTATGTCTGTTTACAAGCTATTAAATTCCTCTGGTGGCTCTGACTTATTCTAACACATTTTGCTCAGAACAACTCACTCATATAATTAGCATTTGAACCATTGTTTTCTGTTTTGGAAGACATCACGCAAACATTTGTAACTAAAGTTGTATTGGCTGGGACTAGTTAAATGGAAGGGATTTTGTTTGAAGCTTTTTCAGTATTTTGGATGTACAGTTGATGAAGTAAGAGAATGTGAATGCTATATCCTTTGTGCAATGACTGATAAACACTACACGTTGGATTGGGCGGTAGGTAGCCTTCAACCCCACTAGTATCCGAGTTTGGAACTGCTGGTGTATTTTGACTCCAACCATTAAGAGGATAACTAACCCTGAAATTCCAGCGCTTGAATTTTAGGCCAGCATTAACCTATTCCTGGATGAAAAGCCATGCAATTCTACTTGACTTGGAAGAAGCCAAATAGGAAGGAGTGGAGACTAATTTGCAGCTCTAATTACTCGAGCAAACTTTGGGTTGATGAATGACTTCACACTCCAGACCAAGATCTGTGCTGAGACTTTGAAGTCAGGGTATCGAATACACTGTAATTGAGAAAGATTTCAGCAGGGGTAAAGAAACTGCCTTGCACCAGTAGACCAGTACATACCACTAACCTAGCCCTGTGTCGCTGGCTGGCAGATTGCGGATCTCAGTTAGTCATGTCACTATGAAGCAGAAGAGAGGACTAGGTCAAATACTCGCTAAAGCCCAAATTTTAACATTTCGCCATTTTATAAAGCGATGCTGCAGTCTTCATTGAAAAAAGGAGAATTTTAATTGGTGGATTTTATCAAACACTTGATTGACTTCTAAATTAAGAAAGTCAGTTTAAACGACGATATTGGGGGTTTTACCATGGCTGCATCAAACTGTTGTGTACCTTTCCTTAGCAATTCATCACTTGGGTAAGTTCAGCTTAAGTTTCAGAAGGATTCTTCTCTCTGCTGTTCTCCCCCTGAAATACAGCCGACGACTTCCTGAAAAGACAGACTATTTACTAAGAAGGCCTTGGTGCATTACCAGTTTATTGATATCAGGAAATCCTGGGGCTCTGTGTGTAGAGATTTACTGCAGAAGTGTGGAAATATGGATTTGATAAACTAGTGCCTATGATTTACTTAACTTATGTTTGATATAGTAGTAAGGGTTTTATGAATGTGGATTACTTTTTGTGCCAACAGCTCGGACTTGTTGTATGTGTGTAGGCAGAAGGACTTGTTCTGCTTCCAAAGTTATTTAATTTTTTTTGTGTTTGAATGTTTTTGTAAGTGTTAAAAGTGTAAAAAAAAATATATAAAATATTCTTACCACAAAATACTTCCTGGATCATTATTTTTATAACAGCTTGTTTTTAAAAGCCTTTAGAAATTTAGAGGGTATTGGTTTAGGGCTTTTTTTGGTTGGTTGGGTTGTTTTTCAAGAGCTATCTTCACTTTTCCGGTAGTTACCAGCATCAACTTCTGCCCCCTGTAATTCATGAGCTGAGCACAATGCTGCATTGGGGTGAAAGCTGTGATTTCACTGACGGACTGAGGTGGGCTTGGTCGTGCCTCTGCTCTGTAAGGATGACATGTAATTCCGTTATGTGAAAAAATGTTTTCTGAATTTTCACCCAGAGTGATTTGTTTGTGCAATTCTGAGTACACAAGCTGCCTTTCCCTCTTTAGCGGATTCACGCATACTCTACCACATGAAACAAATTTTTCATTTTGAAAATTCTGGAATTTTTGCAGAAAATTGAGCAGTGTAGAAGTCTACCCCATAAGCCGCCTTTGAATTGTGAAGTGCACGTTTTATGCAGCTCTCATACGAACGCCTCTATCTTTTGGCTCGCGTACAAGCAAGAATTTTGTTTTGAACTTGGTAACTTTCTGTAATCTGCATTTTGCCGCACAGCAACATATCCAATGGTAATGCAAACACTGGCTCTTTCTTATCTTGGTAATAAAGTCAAGCTAGGTTTACTTCTGTTTGGTGGCTGCTTAATATTAATTCTCTTTAACAAAATTGGCCTGTGAGGCTCGCTATTAATTGTTTATCCCAGCATAGTCCCCTAACTTGTAATTAACCCAGTAGATTAAAGTGTTTCCCCCCTAGCTAGCTGACCGGTTGACGTAGAGCTGGCTTTGCACCTACTGCTCCTAAAATGCGATCCGCTCCCCCTTCCCTCATCGTGTTTTAGATCAGCAGTCAAGCACCGTTTGCCCCACAGCCCTGCAGGAAAATGAATAGGTTTCTGTAACACACTCTTCCACATTAAACTATTGTTTATATTTCGCACCATCACACTGCAAGACTCAAGATAGAAAATACTGTTTCTGCAGTGCTCTTTATTTTGAGCAAAGGTATTGACAGCTCCTTTGGGGTTTGGTATAGAAGTGCGAGGTCGTGTTTTACTCAATAGTGTGTTACCCTCTAGGAGGCTGACTGCAGTGGTGAAGGGAAATAAGCAATGAACGTGTAAGGAGGGAGAAGGCTGAAGCTGTTTATGCTGCTGACGCCTTGGGGTGGCTGCGGAGCACGCTGCTTTGATCACTTAAAGCTCAGCTTTTAGTAGGAGTATTTCTGAGAAAAAACAGCTGTGGGAAACTTTAATATGACAGCAGTATGTCTTTAGTCCTCCCTCTCTTCATCTGTAAGGACAGGGGTAAACTCCAGAGGCGTTTTTATTTTTTACTTTTGAAGTAAAACAGGCATGGTGTGAGGTTGCTTAGATTTTAAAAAACAAAACAAAACCCCTACCTGTTCTTGACTTGGGTATTGGCTGGCTGGCTCCTACAGGCGGACTCTGTCTGTAGTGGTCCTGTTTCAGGAAGATAAAGTTGGGATGCGGGCGCTCTCTGGAGTATCCATGTTTTACACACAGCTTCACAGTAACGAAGATGCTCTCTGCTGGAGGAGTTGAAGAACTGAAAGAAGCAGATCCCATTAGACTCGCTTCCCAGGGGATTGGTTTATAACCTCATACAGCGGCGTGTGTGTCGCTGTCCTCGCTACACTAAATGATAAACTCTGGTGCAACTACATTAAGCCCTCGCAGGACACAAAACATAACATCAGCCATTACCCCGATTTGCAGATCCTCAGTGGGATTTAAAGGAACAGGTAGCTAGAATGATTCCTTACCAGCAAAAGTGACTTTTCAACTTGGTCCATCGTCCACGCCTGTTGCAAACAGCGAATTACAGAAAAACAAACAAAAAAAAATTAGCTTTGAAGGCCGGGAAGGCTGAAATTCTCTGTGTAGTATGGCACTCACAAAATCTTTCAAAGACTAACACTAAACAAAAGATACTTCTGCTGTTTTAAGCTGGGCTCCTGTCATCAGCATAAACACAGGTAATCATAGGTAACTCCATTTTCTTTTGGAAAACGCTTTTAGGATCTTGCAAAGATGAAGCTTAAAAGAGAATGGCTTGTGATGCCCTCTCTCCCGGTGTGTGTGGCCCTCCTTGCTGCTTTTAAATTATCCCTGAAAGCTTACTTCTATTGTCAACTACAGCAAGTGAGATTCCAAAAAATAAGCATATTAGGGATGAGCAGTACATGCGTTACGGAGAAGGTGCCTCTGTGGGCCACCCCCAGTGCTACTCCACTTTTGGTCATCCTGCACAACCCGCAGAATACAAACTATGAATTCTTCTGTTCTTTTCTATTTTCTTCACTGTGATTTTCTTGAGACCACAGCCAAAGTTGCAACTTTTCACAGACCTGCTGTTTAAAAACCTTGCTTCTACAAACAACTTGGTCCAACGTCAGACACGCTACTCCCTTCACACAGGGCATGGTCTCAAGAAGCCTGACACCAGTTAACTCCACGTTCCTCCAGCGACAAGGCTGTGAGAAGAACCAGGTGGCAACCTGTCACCCTGGCCAGCTCAACAAAGTCAATTTGGGACATATGTAGCACAATATCTTTTTCAAGCTTTCTTACAGCTATGTCCATTGATAAAACTGAAATTAATGGAATCAATTCCCATGTGAACGATAGTTTATTTCTGAAGACACCAGCATTTCTTGGGCTGACAAAGCTATTTTCTTGCTGAGAGTATTTGGTGAAATTGGCCAAGTAGTGTACTTTTCTGTTGCTTGCTACGTAAGTTTGGTTTTTTTTGTGTTCAAGGAAGGAGCATTCATAGCACAATTCAATTCACTTCCTTCTGTAAGAAGGCCAGCTAATGTCTTCAAAACCATTCAAGCGGTCTACGTTTGGGTTTTCTTTGCATGAAAACTATATAGTAACAGGAAGATGAAGAAGGACACTCGTGTTCTGTGTGGTTCCCTGCCTCTGCCCTGCCCAAGGAAAAAAAAAAGCTCCTGTTAATATGGGAGCAGGTCAGCAGTGACTTGCCTTGGGACTCCGCATGGCCTTAGCTGCTTAAAGCCACACAGGTGGCCAAGAAATGTCTGGGTTGTGACATGCTGGTGGTGGGAATGTGGTCAGGGGGATGGACACGCTGGGTTTTCCCCAGCCTCATGCTCTTCCCAGGCATCCCACCTTGGCCATGGAGAAACAGGCTGCTGGGCTGGACTAGGTGGACCCTGCTCTAACCCCAGCATCACTGCCCTTGCGCTCGCTCCTAGCTGTCGCCCATATTTGTCTCAAGGCCCTCTTTGTTCCCCTTCAGGCGTTCAGCAAACAATCTGCAGGTCCTGTTACAAAAGCTCAGTTATCTGACTGATCCTTATTCACCGCCCTTTTGCTCAGCAGGGTTACTACTGCTGTACCATCATCTCACAGCTGCTGCTGTGGCTCATGCGGTGCTTCAGCTGGGTGCCAAAATGCTGATGGGAAAAGGCGATGCTGGACCAAGCTCAGGATTACAAGGAGCTTGGTTTGCATCCTGTTCAGGGCTGAGGGTAAGCCCAGCTGCACTGCTGGGTGATTGAGCCAGTACATGCTGTGTTAAAAGAGCACTGCATCATCTTTCTTCTTCAAGCAGGGCTGTTTGCCTTAATGAAGATCAGCAGGACAGGAGTAGCTTCTGCCATCTCAAATATACCTTCAGCGCTCTCCTCCTTTAGAAATTAAATTTTATTGAAGCACGTGCTGCCATTTTGAGTCCCTTCTCAAAGAAAAGAGGAGTGGGGGAATCAGGCAAACTCTCTGCTCTTCATGCTCCGCCCCAGCTCCTGGCTTAACCTCGAATTTCTCAGCTCTACAATCATCCATTTACTCACCCAACCCCTCAGCCCAGAGCAAGGTTGTGTTGTTTCTGTTCATCGATTCCCCACTGGGCTAACGCAGGTGCATAAAAAACACTGTTAATGCTGCTTCAACTGACCTGTCCGCAAAGGCATTCTGAAAACCTTGTCCTGGGTCTTGTCCTTCTAAAGCCGTGCCTGGATATTGGTGACAGCAACGCAGCATCACCACCGTCACTCAGCCTCAGGAAAGCAGCCCGGAGCAGCCCCCTCCGTCCACGCTCAGCCTTGCTGGCCAGAGCTGGCAGCTCCTGAGCCTCACGACACCCCTGCCCGTACACGTACCGCTGCTAACAACACGCACCGCTCCTCCCCGGGGGCTGGCGCAGAGCTAGCACTGTTCATTCAGTGCACGCAGCCCTCTTGAATACCTGTGGGATTAAATATATATATATATATTCATTATGGTACAAGCCTGGGCTATAGGAGACCCTCAGTCAGTTCCCTGCTCTGCCATGCACTTTCAAGGATGCCTCATTTATTTTCTTGTGGCTCAGTTTGTCATCACTGAAGTACCAGCCTTTATAAGCTGCGCGCCGGGAGCGAGGGGCAGGTGCGCTGCTATTTAGAGAAAGGGTCAGCAGTCAGTTCATATCTCGTCTGTGACAGTGGGATAAGTTAAGAACGGAAATTCAGGCGACCTTGGTTTATGAGCCCAAATGTCAGAGAGCACTAATGTCTATTGTAAATGTCAGAGTCGAGGGATTTTTCTTTTCCCTTTAAAAAAAAAAAAAAAAAAATCAAGAAAGATTTAGTTACTGTATTCATGCCGCCTTTCACACAGCTTCAGCTCCACTGAGAGTGAACAGTATTGCCCCGGTACACAACCATCCCATGGGCATATTAAAAAGCATGGGTCTGGTAAAGACCCCAAGCCCAGCTCAGCCCTCTCCTTCAGCAGCAAAGCACCTTTCAGTAGCACAAGGCTCTGCTTAGGGCTGGCAAATTCAGGGTACTTTCTCCTGAGCAGAACACGGGGATTTAATTGATATCTGGTGGGCTCTGTGATTTATCTCCATGTGAAAATTTGCCCAGGGCAGTGAAATACAGCCCTCTGCAGGCACTTGCACCCCCCACCCCCTCCCCAGCCATCAGTGCCAGCCTTCCTGCCCAA